CCCCCCTCCCGTGGGCGCGCGCGCCCCGCGCTCACCCGCACGCGCGGCTCGGTGAGGTTGGTCCACACGGCGATCTCCTCCCGCATGCTCATGTCGGGGTAGCGGTTCCTCTGGAACGTGGCCTCCAGCTCCTGCAGCTGCTGGCTGGTGAAGTGCGTGCGCTGCCGCCGCTGCTTCTTCTTCTTGGCGGGGTCCTCGGGGCCCGCGCCGCCGCCCGCGCCGCCGCCGCCGCCGCCCGCTCCCGGGCCGAACTGCGCCCTTCCGGGGGGGCACACCGCCGCGGGGAATCCACCGGGGGGCAGCACGGAGCCGTAGGGGTAACGCGCGCCGTTGGAAGCGGGGTAGAGAGATCCGTGAGGCCCCCCGGCTGCGGCCGGGTACTGGAAGAGCGAGCAGGGCGCGGGCAGGTCGGAGCCCTGCGGCCCGGGGGACGGAAGGTAGTAGCGCTCGGAGCTCAGGTTGTCCATGGAGTAGCGCGCAGCGGCGGCGGCGGCGGCGGCGGAGGAGGAGGACAGTTCCTCCTCCCCGCACGGGGAGTTCTTACGGCCGTCCAGGGGCCCAGGTTTGGCCACCGTCGCAGCGAAGGTGTCCCCGGAGTCCGCGTCGCTGAGCATGGCCGCCGGGGGTCCCGGCCTGGCGGCAGCGGGCTCCGCGGCTTCCGCCTCGCAGGAAGGGTTGCCCGGGAACTTCTTGGGAGCCTTGTCTAAGTCCAGCCTCCGGGGCGAGGAGGCCGAGCCCAAGAGGAGACCGCCGCGCCCGCCGCCGCCGCCGCCGCCCGCGCCCTCCAGCGGGTAGAAGCGCGCGCCGGGCAGGCTGGCGGAGCTCCCCAGGAGCTGCTCGCCCAACTGCATGCTATGCAAATTGCCGACGGCAGCTGGCTGCCACCTCCCGTCCCAAGGCCTTATTATAAAGGCGGGACGGGGCAGCCAGCGCCCTCTTCCGAGGGGAAGGTGACTCCCCTCCCTCCCGCTCTCCGGCTACCCACCTGCGAACTACCGGGCAGCTCCGGCGTGCGCCCGAATCCGCCTTTGCGTACGGAGAGCGCACTGAGTCTGTCCATAAGGTGGATACTGACCAAGATGCACACACTCCTTTCGCCTCTCAGTCCGTCCTACCTCTGTGGACCCGGTACACTCACACCAGGGCAGGGGAGGACTTAGATGATCTATTTCTATCCACCCACCAGCCCCCGTCTCTCGATTCTGTCTCCTGCAGCCAGACCATTGATCCACTTGACCATTTGGAACCTCTCCCGCGGCCGCTAGCTGCTTATATGCGTGCGGCCAGGGAGGGGCTTCGAAGACCCACACTTTGGGGGAACATTTTATTGGCTGGCGGAGGTGACACTAATTCCGTTAGTCATTTATTAATTGGATCAATTAGCTTGCGACTTTCTTTTCCTGAAGCCTGGGGTTGTTGGTGGTGGGTGATGTTTAGGGTACCCGGACCCACTGTGATAAAGCAACTCTGGTTTCTGTATTTCACTGGAGTTTAGAGGGAAAGTGTTTGAGGCCTTATAGGAGTCGTCTCCTTGCTGGCGATGGGAAACGGAACGGAGCAGCAGGAATTAGAGGAGCAAGGGAGAACATCTCTGCTATCTAGCAGCAGGGAGAAAGATTCTGGCTTCCCGAGCTGGAGGGCAATCCAAGCAATGTCTCTAACAGGGCGCACCGCTCTCTTTACGGAGATTTCCCATATCTTTAACACAAAGATACACGTTTTGAGGGGCGGGGGAAAGAGTCTCGCCTTTGATAAACTGGAAGGAGTTATGGCAAAAAAAAACCAAAACCAAAAACCTTCATGCCCAGCTTCTGAGATTCTGTGGGTGGCGAGAGCCCCGTAGACCTCGAATACACAAGCTATCCGCTGGAATAAGGTGGGCTTCTGATTCACCAAACAGAACGAGTGAAATGAAATGAGCCTGCCCTCCACAAGCTTCTCAGGAGGTTTGTCACTTGTCCAGCCCACACTTTTAAATCCCTGCTGCTCGGCTTTCCTGGGTCCGGGATCCTTCCCACCCTGTCCGCCAGTGACATCTTCTCTAGGACCTGACCAAGAAGCAAAGATTCCCTAGCAGCTGCACGGTTAAGATCCCCTTTGCCTCTTCTCTGCAGCACAATACAAAAGACAGAATAATTGGTGAAACAATCAGTTTGATATTGAATTAAACTCTTTTGCCCAGCTACCCGTTTCTTCCTGGCATTTCCGCAGTCAGGAACGGCGCCGTTTTATTGTATTGCTTTATCATTACAGAAGAGGGGACATTTCATTGTGAATAAGAACTCTGAATCTTCCTGCCTCCATTAAACGCTCCGGGAGTTCATTTTCCGGCTGAGCTGTCAGGACTCTGTGTCCCGACCGAATGCGATCACACGGGAAACTTTTTTCCTACAACAGATGAGGTGGTCGCGGGATTTGCTGAGATTGTTCGTGACAGTGTAGAACAACGGGAAGCGTTCCAATCTGAGTTCAAACCAGAGCAGCACCAGCATCCTCACGTCTGGGTCAGAGATTCGGTCCAGGGTTTGGATGCTGCAGGACATTTATCATTGTTTGAGGATGGTGCTGAAAACTTGAACTTGCCCAAGCTTTTCAGGGTCAAAGCACAGCCCGGGGGCAGAAGACCAAATTAAGACCACTGGGCTTTGGCCCGGGCCAAGTAAGTTTTGGTCCACAGTTGCCCGGAAGTAAATCCCCAGAAACCTAGCACCCAGCTCGTGCAGCCAACAGTTTCTATATTTTGATTGATCCGTTTAGTTCTTCTTTAGGACTACTGTTTGCTCCGATCACGTTGAAGTACACCCTATGCTTCCCCCCCCCCGCTTTTGTTTTCAATGGACCCAGTGAAGTCTTGAAAATTGATTTTCAAATTCATGCAACCCTTTGGTAGACCTCATAGATTTCAACGCGGAGACTGCGAGAGCAGGACGCGCGCTCAAGGAATTGAAGGAACTGCGAGGCGCTGGAGACTTCGTCCTGCGTTGTCGAAAGCTGTTACGCTTCCTGAGCTCCTCGTCCTCCGTTTTGACCTAGCTACAGGATGTCTGAGGGGAAAAAAAAAATAGGTGTCAGACTGAATCTCACGTTATTTGCAGATAAGGTGCCCTACTACACGTTGGTTTTGCGCTTTGAAGCAGCCAGAAACCGGCCTCGGCGTCCCTCAAAACGCTTTCGAAGCAGCCAGGGAAAAGCTGAGTGTGGCATAATGCCATCTGAGGCAACAGGCATCCTTCTGACCCACTCTGGCGCAAATAACTCAGACCAGCTGTCCACCGCGTCATATCAGAAAGGGCTGATTGTATTCCATTCCTAAAGCAAGCTCCTGAAAGCGTAGGGGGTATCAAATTATTAAGTATATATATGGCACATATATATATATATATATACTTGGACTGATGGTTGGGGCAACAAAATGAAGTTTATATTTCCGCACCTCCCCGATCAGTGTATTATTTTATCCCAGTCACGTATCCTACAAATGGAAAAGCAAAGGGAATGTCAACGAGAATGAAAATACAGGTTTTACAAAGCTATTCTGGAACCCAGCATTTTTGGAACATGGAAAAATATATAATATGGTATTACACACCGTATTTTATCACATTTATAAACATATATAACAACTTCCGCTTTCAAATGATGAAAAGCCTGTTTCAATTCCCCAATTTTTTTTCTAGCTCCTTAGTGACAAAGGGATAGCATTGAATGGTTCAGTGTCCATTAACTAATCACATTTTATTATTACCTCTGCAGGTACTAAAAGGTCTGAAAAGATACAGAAGAACAAATACATGGAATTGTCCTTCCTGTTGTTAGCTCAATAGTACATACCAATAAGAAAACATTAAAAATAAATGAAACAACCAAAAAACTATATTTGTCTTTGTCCGGGCCACACTTTAAAATCCAACTATTCGTTTCCCAAACTAGGAACAGAAATGAAAGCAAAGGCAGTGTTTCCAACAACCATGTCAGGCAGCACCTTTCTTATACAGAGTGAGCAAATAACAGAACCTTCTAGTCTGTTTGCTGTTTGATTTCAATTACACCCCAAGCTTCATGAAATCCACATGAGACATTTATTGAAAGGTGGCTGGTTTTATGTGGTTCAGCTGACAGGGATACATTGAACAAAAACATCAACATACTGAGAAGAACCTCTGACACCCAAATGCTGACTGCAATAATTCAAGTCTTTTCATCTTTCACCTTCAGGCAGAACAAGAAGGTACCTTGGAGGGCTATAAGGAAGCAAGAAAAAGCCTGTATACAAGCATATTAAAGATCTCAGGACTTAAGGTTGGAGGCTATGGCCATCATCATTCTGATAACACAGTATTATAGACAATTTAACCTCTTTGAGGGGAGCCATTATGAGTGAATGGAACTTTTAAAAGCAAAACTTATGAAGCATTTGGGATGACAACACAATTATGCATCAAATATATACACATGTGTATGAATAAATTATAGTGGTAAGTTATAGATGAATGCAGTGATATATGGTTTGCTTCCATCCACCCTCACCTCTAGCCCCCATTCAACCATGGGGGCCTATATAAATGCTCCAATAAATGCTACTATTTTCACCCCCCACTAAAAAGTGTTATCAAAACACTGTCCGTGTTATTCAGACACTTTGTAAATTCTGAACAGACTTGCTTCAGGTTCTCCTTTTAACTCTAGGAAAACATTCCAATATTGCTGGCCACAGCACATAGCCAGGATTCTAAGAGAAATGTCAATGGTTTTTTTGTGGCAAGTTTGTTCTTTTGCTATTTATCTATGGCCCTTCTTGTTGATGTTACATTTTATTTCACCATCTCAGGTTCACTCTGGTTCTTTGTTGTGCGATGGCAGAATCTGCCACCTCTGCTGTGCTTTACAAAGGGGGAGGAAACTTTCATCACCATAGGGTTGTTTGTGTTTTTCTTTTTTTTTCTTTTGTTTCCTTTTCTCTTCTTTTCTTTTCATTTTTTTCTTAAATAAAATGTCCCATAGGCTAAGACATTTTAATAAGGACAAGTACTTTTGATTCCGCTAGCAAAAGCAAGATCTTAAAACCACAGTTTCACTTTTGTAAGAATTAATGCAACTTCTATTTCACTGTGACACTGAACTAGATTAATCCATTTGCTTAACAAAAATACCAGATCCACAAATGTGTAGGGCAAAGAATTATATTAAATCTACTGCATGTTTACAAAAAAAAGGACCACACTAAACTATTATCTAAGCTATTCATTCCTAATTTAAATTGCTAAATGAGATTCCAGAAAGTGAACTTTAAAAGTTGCTTATTACAAAAAATAGATAAAATTAAATTATTCTTTTCTAAACACTGAATCAAGAATCTGTAGTAGTCCATAATCTTCATTTATTTGTTAAAGAAAGTTTCCTTTTAACTGCAATTGAAATTTCTGGGCTTAGATGATGATTTATTGTTATCAGATATTCGATAAACTTATTTTAAAAAGCTACATAAGGCAAAAAAAAAGGTAAAATGCTCTCAAAAAGCTATTATTATGAGAATGTTTGGTTACTTATGTCAACAACACTGAAGTATGAAAGTTATATAAGGTTCTATCTGCTCTACTTTCTTTTCCACCTTGAACCACTTGGCATTTGGCCTTCTTCTATTAATTTAAAATAGGGGGCTATTAAATTTGTGTCATAGTCAGGTCTTAAGCTTTCTAACCATGATGACTAAAGTGGAAATGCCTTTTTTCCTTTGAAAGAAAACATAGCTTCCTAAATTAATGGACCTTTTTAGAAATCATTTTTAGATTTAAAAGGTATTTTTTCAACTATTTTTTTAGACATTTTTGTAACCTGGGGACCACCTATAAAT